TTATCACAGTTACTTATTTGGTCCCACCAGCCGTCTTTAGCACAGCTTTCTTTTTTAAGATAATGCAGATCGTACATTTAGCCATGTTGTACTGCTTGGCGAGATCACAAACATGAACACCGTTTTAGTATTTAGTTACTATTTCCTTTTTCGTTTCTTCTGTAATATGCTTAAGCTTCTTTACACCACTGTCACTAACACTTTCACTTTCTTCTGAGCCGTAATGAGGGTTAATTTTATCTAAATTTTTTTTTCAAACTGTATCAACAATGCAACAACAAACAATGTCAGCAGCAAGCAAAACTGAGTACAAATGATACTATTCATAGCTAAAAAAAAAATGGTACCAAAACCATGTTTTGGGTCTATGGGTCAAGGCATTGTTCGAGTAAAAATTTATTCGAAAATTGTGTTCGTGACCCAAGATAGCACTGTAGTTTAAAACAAAATTTTTTTTTTAAATGTATATGAATACAATTTTGAACAATAGTTACCTGTGTAAAAATAGTTACCTTTTTAAAGTCTTTTTAAAGGAAATTCCAATGCGTCAATGGCCCTTTATTTATATATATACATATTTTAGGTTTTCAATATGTTAGAGATAAAGTAGCATCTGCTACTGGGATATGACGTGTTGGGCTTTCATATATTCTGGGCCATGATGTTTGAAGTGGGGTTGGCCAGTAATCTCTATCATTACCTTTCCTTCCTAGAAAATTGCGGAAATTGTCTAATACTTATTTTCATGAGACTGGATTGACCTCCTCGAAGCGGCAATGGTTTGAAAAAAAAAAAAAAGAATCTGGCCTTTTCTGGGGATGGAGCCCAAAATCCTGTCCTGACAGGCAAGCTCCCTAGCCACTATGCCACAGCAGCATGTTAGTGTTAATAATGTGAACAACATACATGTTACCTAAAAACATTCATATTTTTTTTTACATGAATAAAGAAAACTTCAAAACGGTGTATATTTCACATTATGGTTGAGCTTTAGCGTAAACAAAACCAACATTCTTCCTTTTGTTTTCTGGATCCCCACGGGTTCTGAGTATTAAAACAAAAAATCTGCAAAGAATGCATCATCATCAAGTGCACAGCCGAATCACATGGGAGTTAATTTCTCTCCACAATCTGCAATTTTCAACAGTATATATTTGTTCGTGTGCTGACACCCCTCCATGCCTAGCAAAAGGCTGTCAAAACACGTCTCACACTGTCTTCCTCTGTCTCTTTTCCCACAGATCTTTCCAGTGGTCACAGCACGTACCAGTTTCCTTCTTCTCATAACATGACCAAAAACTGATGACTGTCTCTTTCTGATGTTTGTAATAGGTGGGTTTTTCCCCCATGTAGGTTACTAGGCCACATTGTGGGAAAAACAAGACACGACCCACTTTCCCCCCAACAAGCATGTCATAAGAGTCAACTAATTGGGGGTTTCCTTCGAAGTCACAGTAAATTTGCCTGAGAGGCAAGGAACCAACAGTTTGCATATAAATAAGTCAGATATGTAAAATGGGTGCACATGAAAGGTTCTGGAACAAGTCTAAAGTCAAAAGGTGGATGAACAGCCAGAACTTTCCGATGGAGTTTCCAGCTGGTGAACACGAAGAAGAAGAAGACAAAGAAGTTGTCTACTGAGTCCTCACCTCTTTCAAAGCATCAAAAGAATGCATAAGGTTAGCAGAGTCATATACACTTATCGAACAACATATGAAGAAAATAAGTAGAAATAAATAACAAAGAAAACAGTTGGAAAACCCCTAAGATAAAATTTCTCCAAATATATATCTGACGGATCTCTTTTATTATTCCATGAGTTCTCTTTTCCCTGCCAATAACATCAAATCATGAGAACATAATATCAAGTGTGAACAAGAGATTCTAAATCTCCAAATTAATATCTTGAAGACACCCAACAATATGTTAGATGTAACATTATTGTAGAAAGAAAAACATCCCCCCCCCCCCCCCCTTAACAAAAAAAAAATTGTTAAAAAGTACAATATTCATTCAGTGTTATAATGTGCTACAATAATCATTAAAACATGTTACAAACAAGTTATTTTATTTAAAAACATGTTACAAACAAGTAATTTTATTTCAAATCATTATCCAAAGCCTTTTCTAAGACCTACATGTGTTTCTTTAAGAGGGCATAAGTCCCATGTAACTGAACCTGTCGCCCGAAGAAAGCCATTTTTCTGGCATTTATGGGTTTTTGATGACATGAACTCTTTGTGCAGCGGCCTCTATGCCTACATAACAGTTCCGGTACTAGCTGTAACTGCACAGTGTGCAGACATATTGAGTAATTCTATTAATATCAACCCCCCACTTGGGGTGAATTGATGTATGTCAAGCTAGATGTTGTGAGGGCCCTTTAGGAGTGAGTGAACAGTGCGGAAGCGCAAGTAGATAATTAAGGTCAGAGGAGAATGGTGCTGTGAGGAGTTACCAGGGGATCTGGCCAATGCTCAACACTCAAGGGAGGGGCGAGACGAATACACAATCAGACAGTTACTGGTGCCACTGGAAGGAACTCTTCGTTTGCTGCTGAAGATGGGGACAGAGCGCTTATGGGAGTGTCTCGAGTGCTATGATGTGGATTCTTAATTCAATATTCAACATTCAGCCATTATTTAACCCCTCCCCCCCCCCCCACCCCAAAAATCACATTCTGTGATGTCTTCATTATATCTTAATAACCTCATAATAATGTTACTTGGCTCTCAATGGCTAAGTCAACAAAACCCTTATTTTCAAGACAGTTAGCTTTTTTTGGTTCTGTTTGTACTTAGTTATTAATTCAGGTACTTAAAACAAAAATGATTAAAAACAGAATTAATTATTTTAGTTAAAGTTAACTTAAATTCGAGAGATCGACTTCTTTGCACCGGGTTTTATCCCACATAGCTCGGTTTCTTTCAGCAGAACGCCTAGCCGCCTGCGAGAGCACCTCACAGAGCACAAACTCTGTAGCTCCGGTGATGATCCTCAGAGATCTCCCTAAAAACTGCACTCGAGAACTGAACGACGCAGCCCTAAAATAAACCCACGACGTTCAGAGCGCGAGGCAAACAGCTTGACCACTTGGCCATAGAAACCCCTTCTCAGTAACATGACAGTCATGACGTAGCTGTGGTTTTCATGATTGTCTGTCATCTTAGTAGTCTACCTTTAGACCCCCTGGATATTTATCAAAATGCCCAAGATCCCAAAACTTGTTTCTGCTTCTTCTTCTTTTCCTCTAGCTTCTTAAGGTAGTTTCCGAGAACTGTAACAATGAATTTCTTCTTAGGGAAGTTTTAAAGGAAAACTAAAAGAACATTTATTTCATAGATTCTAAAGGGGACCAAAGCGTTTGACTGCCACACTGATCTCTACCTACCAACCAATCAATTTGCCATACGTCCTAAATCACTTTAATCACTCTGTAAAAAGCAAAGTAAAGGACCCTTTCCTATAGGGCATTCACGGCTAGACCAATATTTGTACAGACCAATCGGCACAAGATGGGCGATGTGGTCAGCATCAAGCCGGTCGCCTTTACTTCGCAGTACTGCACCCAGTACCCACTCAAGGTTGGGTCGTCCTGGGAGCCAAGATCATTTTTGAAAAAAGTCCAGCTCCGCCAGGGAGTAAACCCACGACCGTCCAATCCGTAGGCAAGCATCTAGCCGCTACGCCATGGCGACTCCCTTTGTCACTCTGATCACAAAATATATCTTCATATTAAATAATTATATTTTAAAAAACATCAACAAAATACAAATTACAGCTGGTGCATTTCTTCTATCTGCAACGTGGAGATTCTAAACAGCAGGTTAAGCATAAACAAAAAACAAATAGCAATAGAACATAAAATCTTCAACATTCCATCACAGAATAAATTATCTAAAAACATCCAAACAAATTTCATTTCATTTTCTGCTACTTTTTTCTCCTTGGGGCTACTACATGACAGTCGGACCTAAAAATCTCATCCTGGACGGCAAACCAGAAGAGTAAATTCTGGATGCCTATTCAATGGCTAAACCAATTCAATCAGTGAGGTGCCATCTGCATAGTGAGGAAGGTTGGATGCAATAGATCTCAAATACACTCTGTCTTTTGTCTTGATTCTAAACTCTCCCAGACTGCTGTTCGTTCATTTCTTAATGTTGTACCCCCCCTCCCCCCACCCCACCTTAAAGAAAGTATTTACGTAACTGTTTGTTACTAAAAGAGTTTAAACTAACCATTTCATAAAATGAGATTAATATTCAGGAGGAGACTATTCCAATGAAAATTCTCTGGTAAGTTTGTGTCCAATGTTCTGTTTCAAAACAGACATCAAAGACACAATACATTTTATTCTCATTTGCCAGACTGTATAGTTATTCTCTAACCTCTAAAAGAATCAAATCTGAGTGGCAGAGCACATACCCAAATGGCTACATACACAGCTCAGTATGGTGAGGGTGTAAGGGTGTCGAGACCAGTCAATAGGAAATAACCCACTTCTTCCATAGGACGTCATCTACTTAATTCCGGACACGTAATTGACACAGACAGTGCTTTCCAAGTGGTTTATCACACTCCGAACAGGCAACTGTTGAGAATGGCCGAAGCAATAACAATTAAAATCAACAACTCCCTCCTTTGTAAGCAGACGGAATTTATAGTAAACTTAAAGTTACCTGGTAAGTCCTTTGACTACAGTGAGCTTCCGGAGGCCAAAACACACACGATGTGTCGAAAGAAACTATTCGCATTTCAGTTGGATTTATTCAGTTTTGTGCTTCATTTTATGTTGATGTAACTCTGTAGTAACACACCTGATGAGATACAGCGAAATATGCCTGGCAAAAAACTGTGCAATGTATTGTTGTGTTCACATTATTTAAAATCTGAATAGTTGTAAAAACTGGATCCCACATTTCTTGCATTGTACATATTTTTCTAACATTTATCAAAAAGCTAAAACCATAAAAACTGAAATTTAAATAACCATTTTTTTATGGCTGAGTTGTTGGAGGCATGGGATTATAAAACATCTGGCCACTCAGGATTCTCCGGACTAATTCTTGCCTCAAGAGACGTTTTTCTTTCTTCACTTTATCCAGTACTCCTCGGTTTTCTGCAGCTCGGCGAGAGAGGTATGGTAACACTTCCTCTACTGGGCCAAAGGGAACATACTTGTACACAGAATAGCCTGCCTGACCTGGAGGATTAAAAAGTCGGAGAAAATGTTTTAACTGAAACAAACACAGATAAATCTAATGTCAAGCAAATTAATGGTTGTTCCATAGAAGTACTATTATTAAAACGTGATATGTTAGGTCTAGACTCTAGAGCAGAGCTTTCCAAATTTGTCATGCCAGCGACACACTTTTTTTAGACAAATATAATTTCATGAAACAATAATTCAGTCAGATAGGTTTGGCAAACACCTTACAAGAGATACAGACAAATACATAAACTGAAAAACAAAATGATTCATGACACAGCCTATCTCTCGAAAACATTTCATTTATATTAAGAATACATAACATTTCCAAAATTAATGGCATTGTTATAATTATTCATTAACCAAAAAAAAAAATATATAACAATACCAACAATTGTGCCATTTCCTGCCAATTTTTTGTGTGTAACATTTTTTATATTCATGGGACGCACCATTACACTGCAGCTGACAGACCAATGTGTCGCCACCCAGTTAGAAAAGCACTGCTCTAGTGAATTATGTATGATGTTTGGTGGCCAGTTCCCTTCTTCACTTTCCTTCTTAGTTTAGTCTGAAAAATTTGCCTTTTTAATTTTAAGAGGCTTTATTCAGAAAATTTGCCTTTTTTATTTTTATGAGGTTTATTCTGAGAATCTGGCTCTTTTATTTTTCTGAAGCTTATTCTGAAAATTTGGCTTTTATCTTTATAAGGCTCATTCTTAACTCCATGAATCCCAGGAAACGCATCATGCACTAATTGGTTACAACCCAGTGGCCCAATCGGCGTGTGACGAGTGAAGGTTTTTAATTTACCACTGACGGTAATAAAACGCGGACTAGTCAATTTCTACTTCCTTTCCAGCTCTTTGTGTTTGATATCAGGGATGCTCATTTGGAAAGTGGTTTAAAAGATGCAAATATAGTATATTTGTGAGGTTTACCAAGTTACTATGTGCTTGTTTGAAAACAGTTTGGCCACCAAGCAGTATTCTACACACATGTTAACATGATTTACAGCTTTAGAAGCCTCAAATTTAAATTAGGCACATGTTTATTAGATTTATCCTGTTAGACAGATAACGTTGTGAAGTACGCTTGTTTCAGTCATTCAAAAAGTCAAACTTTGATGAGGGATAGGTCTAATGTGTACCTCACACAAAGGGTACAACGATAGTAAAGTCAGCTGGCACAATACAATAAATATTAGTGAAAAGGTAGTTTTCTTCAGTGTCAGTCAGTTCTAGTGCTATTCCCCTTATTATTTAGGAACATAGCTACAAAATTACAGGCAAACTGAGTGTTACATAAACTTTGTTTTGTGAGAAGATACTAAATGTTTTGGAAAGTCAGTTCTCTTTCCCAATTAATGGTGCTCTGTTATGATGCTTCAAAAGATTCTCTGGAACAAAATCTAATGTACAGACTGAGTTTATATTTTACTTATACATTAATAAGTGGTTCATGTTCATTTGTGATTCATTTTGGATATATTTTAATGAGTTCTCCTTGAGTGCCATGGTGGCAGGTGGAAAAATTATTATTTGGTTTTACTATCTTCTTTTAACATACTGTCAGTTTATTTCTTCTTCTTCTTCAGTGTTCCGAGCCCTTGAGGTTCGTTGCTGTAGATATTGCCCGCCTGCACTTATCTCTCTGGCTGGCCTTCTCTTTCCAGTTGGTGACGCGCAGTGTTTGCAGGTCTGTCTGGATATTATCCCTCCACTGTCTTCTTGGTCTGCCTCATGGTCTACAACCATTCAGATCCCTGGTGTATACAGTTTTTACCTCTCTGTCATCTGACAATCTCTCAATATGCCCCAGCCATTTCAACCTATTCTTATGTTGCAAATGATCAATGGTGATTTAAACAGATTATGAATTTCGCTGTTGCTTCTCACTCTCCATTTCCCGCTGTTTTTAACTTTGATAGGTCCAAAAATTTGTTGTAATACTCTGTTTTTCAAAAACCTTTAATAAGCCTTTGCCTCTTTTAGTTGTGCTCCAAGTTTCAGAGCCATAAAAAACGACTGGTCTTATCAACATTTTATATATTTTGATCTAGGTGTTGCGAGACAGACACTTTGATATTACCAGATGTTCAAGTATACTTTATTTCCAAATTGTATTTCTTCTCTCAGCATGTTGGAGCAGTTGAAGTTTGCAGCCAAGTTCATTTACTAATATTAATACTAATAATAATACTAAATCTGTTTATTTACTAATTTTTAATTACTAACGCAATTATTTGTTGTAGCAGTATTCTATTATTATTCCCCGACAATCCCTGATCATTTTTATGTATAATATGTGCATGTTGCATGCCAGTTGAATTAGCATGGTCTGTTTTAATGTACAACACTTGTGAAATAAATAAAAAAACACTGCATTACCACCCCTTGGGCCTCTGATGCTAACCAGCTGGGAGTCAAAGAGTTAAAATTTGGCTTTTTATTTTTATAAGGTGTATTATAAAAATGCAGCTTTTTTTTTTTTTTTTTGCATGATACTTATTCTAAAAAATTTGGCATTTCTATTTTTATGAGGCTTATTCTAAAAAAAAAAAGCATTTTTATTTTTATGAGGCTGTTTACAGCCTTAATCAAAGATGTTTACAGGTGAGAGAATGGATTGCGCTGACCCTAATTTTCATCCCAGTGACTTGGTCTCTGGATGTAGAGTATTTCACACAGAGAAAATAGTATATAAAGTATGAAAGTCCAAAGTTTTGCAGTGACGATTACCAGGGATCTGCAAGCACCGAGCTGAGCAAAAGACAGAATCTGAAAATCACATTCCCAACTTTCAGAACACAATACAATGGCTTAACCACTCAGCCACCAAAACTCCTCCCTCCAGTCAACCAAAACAGTAAAAGACTTTTGGCTTCATGTTTTAAAATGAAGCTCAAAACTCACCTAATGGAAAGCTGACTTGATCACACATGCCAAACAACTGTCCAAAACATATCAGTCGATCATTTGGTCCAATGCCATATTCTTTCATTCTGAAAGAAACAAAACTGCCATGTATACGTACGCCAAACAGGTAACTCAAATTCTAAATAAAAATTGAAAAAAGTAACGCCAAACATGTACGCTCAAATTAAAAAAAAAAAAATTTTTATTAGAAAAAAGTATCAATTAAAAACAGTAATTCATGGAAACACCATCAATAGTTATACAAACATGAGGAAGCATTATATGCATTAATCAGCATCATGTGCCTTGTCAGGTGGCATAGACATTGGTGCATACAGATATCAGCTCTTAGTGTTCTGGATCAGTTCTATTAATGGTTTTCCTCCACACCGTTACTACCATTGATCTTTCTAGTCCATATAATGTTCTTTAATATCCCTTTGCTCAGTTAAAAAAAAAAAGCTGGTCAACCCATGAAACTGCATGATAAACAAACTAACCCTGGCGCCCCAAGAAAGCTGGTTTGTCTGACTTTTGCAGGTTTTAAATGATAACAACAGCTTTCAACAGTGGCTAATCAGCCTAAATAATAGTTTTGGTACTGGTTGATCGATTGACATTCAGCAACACCAGGACATCACACCAAGCAATAAACACCCAGTGACACAAAGTGCCATCAACTGGATGAGGATCTGTTTAAATCACCACTGGTTTGGTTTGAACAACGGATCAACATCATGTAACAAGGGTAGTAACCCGTAAGTACTCTGTTCTACTTCTAACACAAGCCTGAGTCCGAAAAATCTCAGCGCAGTTCATGAACTCCAAAGCACTGGTGAGGATCCTAAACTACTTTTTGGGTTGCCTATTCCAAATTTTGCCAAAGCAGTGCCGTCAGGCTACTCTTTGCGATTTCTAACTGCCAAGGGATTTTTTTAAACGTGTGCAACAATACACACGGGTGTCCGTTCTTACTACCCAGGGTCCAGGGGAAATTACTATAAGTCCATGTGAAAAAATCCCAGCCTGAACCTGGGACCTCCAGCACTCAAGGCGGACGCCATGCCTCGAGACCACTCAGCCCCCCACTGTGGATGAGAATCACCCGGGGACAAGTTGCCCGGGGTGGAGGCTTCAAAACAATTTTTTTTTAAATTGTCCAGCACTGGGATACAGGCTTACTTTGTTTTGGTACTGGTTGCAAGTGCAAAGTGTGAAGACATAGTGGTTATGATTATATTAACCCCAAAAAATATTTTTTGGAGATATTATCTGGGGTGACAAAATTGTTTGTTTGTTGTTGTCAATGGGATGTCATAATAAACTTTCTCTCCTGTGGCTGTGGTAACAAAACCCATGTTGTCCTGGCCAAAGGGGAGGAAAGCAGTTACTTCTTTGCTCCTTTTGTATTTAGTAATTACTTCCCTTTAAGTAAAAAAAATCACCTTTGCACAAGATAGTAAAGTAAAGAACCCTTTTCCACACCTTCAGGTATATTGGGCATATAGAACTGGACCTATATTTTATAGACCAATCAACACTTGGTGGGTGATGTAGTCAGCATCACGCTGGCCACCTTCACTTCTCAAGACTCACCCTGTACCCACTCAAGGGTGGATTGACCTGGGAGCCAAGGTCATTTTTGAAAAAGGTCTGGTTCCGTCAGAACCCAAACCCATGACTTTCTGATCCACAGGCAAGCTGATATTAAAGGTGTTTAACAAGTATAACCATGTCTCCAAATTCTACTGTATATGGAAATGTTACTATGATTGCTATTTTAACAAGTGTAACAATGTCTCCAAATTCTACTCTATATGGAAATGTTACTTTGGTTGCTATTTTAACAAGTGTAACAATGTCTCCAAATTCTACTCTATATGGAAATGTTACTTTGGTTGCTACTTTAACAAGTATAAAAATGTCTCAACTCTCGACTTTATAATGGAAATAATACTATGATTTGTATCTTAACAATTATAACAATGTCACAACCATCTACTGTATATGGAAATGTTAGTTTGGTTGCTATTTTAACAAGTATAACAATGTCCCCAAATTCTACTGCATATGGAAAATGACTCATATTTTTCCCAAATGTAACACACAAACTTACTTCTGTATTGTATATCTCACAGTGTCCTCATTGTGAGTGGCCACCATGACAGCTATCCTGCTTGTAGGTCGGAGATGTATCTGTCTCATGACTTCCTCAATCACTGAGTGCATCATTGCAGTGGTTGCCTCATATGTTGGATTGATTGGGTCCTCGTATCCTATTCTTAATGCACGCTCTCTCTCCTGCAACACGTCAAAGGCATTTCTATTAAACATGTTTCTTTCTTCTTTTTTTTTTTTTTCTCATGGAAGTAATCACCTGCCATGTACTGTCCTGCTGTCCAAATCTGGCAAGACCTTGGTCAAGAAGGCAGGTAAAGTCTTCAGGTATGACAAGACAGTGATGCTTATTGGGCACTTTAGGAGAAGAGCATAGTCAGGGCCCTCCAGGAGTAGATTCATCAGCCACCATGGTTGACTCCAGAAGTGGAGCAAGCGTGGAAGGGGAAAAAAGGTGGCAATGAAAGAATGGCAGCGAGGACAAAGGTGGCAGCAAAAGACGAAAAGAGAACAAAGAATGCCGAGTTCAAGTTGTGGGCAGCAAATGTTAAAAAAGTGAAATGGAAACAGTTTGTGAATGAGATTGGGGAGATAAAACAATAAGTAAGTTCTGGACACTGCACAGGCAGATGAGCCGAAAGGAGCAGCCTATTTCAGTTGGTACGATTTACTGTGAAAATGGCCAGGTCCTGACAACTGACAGTGAGAAGGGGAAGGTTTTTCTGAAGAGATTTTTAGAGCAAATAAATAAGAATGACCAAACCATCGGAAGTGCTGTTGTTAGTGATCTTACTAGAATAATCAGAGATAATACAGTCCCCTTGGACTGAGCGTGCATGGAAATGCCCAATGTGGAGTGACGTCAACTGTGATGACACAACATGTGATTGTAACAGACGCACAGAGCATGCATCAGAAAACTGAACCTAGTGTCCTGCGCAAAGAGAGGCTTGCATCACTTGATAAGACCCCCATCAGGAGCTTATCACAGATTTTCTGTCCAGGTAACGAGCAGGCTGATAGATTAGCTGCTGCCTCACCTCTGGGTGGTCAGCTACTATGTGATAAAGCGGATGGTGAAGGCTCTAGGGGATCAAATAGACAGTGCAAAAGAAAGGACAAGGAATCCATTCACTGAAAGACTAATTCAATGGGGAATGGGGGAATGGGGGGGGGGGGGGGAATGGTGTGGTAAAAAGTTCTGGAAGATATTCATCAATAAAGGGGAAACAGAGGCGTACTTTTAATCAGGTTGCAACCTGCAAATGGTATTGTCAGCTATTCTCTGTTCACTGAAGGGGATAGAGCACATGTGGGAACATCCTGAGTGTAGTGATGTCAATTCTTGATTCATTCATTCATTCATATTTTTTTTCTGCTGCTGCAACCTCCCCTCCCCCAATTAAATATTGAACAAAGGACCCTCAAACTATTCATGCTAAAACATTTTCTCTACACATTTTTGGCTGAGTAAACCTGGGAGCCCAAGTCAATCATAAAAGAAAATAAACTTTTGGACATTTCTTCTCATTGTTTTGAGTTCATCTTCAGCCCCAGGCGGTTTAGCATCAAAGGCCCAAAGGGTAGTAAAGAGAGATGTATAAATGGCGCATCTTGCGTTCACTGGGCTTCGAGGTGGGAACTGAAAAAATGGTGTCTGGTACATTTGTTATTTACAGCAAAACTGCAATATCTGTGTCTCTGTGCCCATCCTGTCTGACTTTAGAAAACGTTTAATTAGTCACCTTTGGTAACATGCAAACAAAATGCATATATCGCAGCCCAGCTGTAAACTTCAACACAATGTGCTATTTCCCGTTTAATGGCAAACCCAGAAGAAAAATATAGAGAATTGTTCCCTCTGATGATTGGATTGAAGCCTCTAGACAATGAAATATTTTATTACACTTACACAACACCTACCGTTATGCTACCAATGCCAAACATGGTCACTAACAACAAAGCAGATCAGAAAATTAGTAACCATGGAAATAAGTATTTGACAAAGGCTGTAGGAGTGACCAAAAGAGATTAAATCTGGAATGAAGCCATAAGAGAGAAAGTCAGCAACAACAAAAAATTATGGTCTGCCCAGTTAGAGAAAATACCTTGTAACGTCATATTATACAAGGCATACACCAAGAAAGAAGAGGGCACAAGGTAGACCAAGAACAAGATGGAAAGACAACATCAGAAGAACTCTACAACACTAACAGTGGCCATGTTTGAGGTGGCCAGAAGAGCCAAAAAGCATAACCTACCCTGACACCAGAAGCGCTAAAAGAGGATATGAAGAAGATGGAAACCCAAAATGCATTTAACTCCAGAAAGGTCCCTGTGTGGGTTCCAGGGTCCCATTGTGGGGAAAACAAGAACAGAACCACTGCCTCTCCAAAAAAAGCAGGTCAGGAGAGTTGCCTAATTAGGGCTTCCGTCAAAGTTGGAGTGCATCTGCCTGACAGGCAAGGAACCAACAGTCTGCAAACAAATGAGCAAGATCTGTAAAAAAAAAAATGCACATGCAAAACCCAGGTCCTGGATCAAAGCCAGAGTTCAGAAATGGACAAACAAGAAGGTCTTTCTGTCGGGGTTTACAGCTGGTGAATGCTTTCCTTTAGAAAAGGCTTTCCTTAATGTATTATTTCAGCATCTTACGCACCTGGTCCATATACGCTCCCCGCACCAGCTTGGCACCAAAATAGAAATCCTCCCGCCTGGCCAGGTCCAAGTCCACAACGATGTCATTGAAAGCTTCCTGTTTGCAAGTAATCACATGAGATAAAACAGATGTCAAGCAATTAACCACAAAGAGCCACCAATGCTACACACTTGGTATGTGACTACAACATGGAATTTTTGCAAAGCACTAGCACACAAAACCCGCCATCTTTCTCTGTCTTCTGCTTGTTGAAAATTTATCCATTTCTTGATTTTATCATTCCAGGTTTGTGTCTCCCCTCTCCCCGACCCTTTTTCATCTTCGACCCCTAACATTCCTTGAAGCTTTAAATTTCAAGGTAGCAGTTACTTACAACAGTACACTTCAAACTGACAATTTACTCCAAATAGAATACTCTAACGTGGCAATTTACTTCAAATAGTATACTTTAAAAGGGCAATTTCTTTCAAGTAAGTAAAGTAAAGTAAAGATCCCTTTTCACGCCTTTGGGCGCATCGGGCATATGGGCAGAGCGTCCCATATTTTTACAGACCATCAGCACTCTGTGGGTAATGTGGTCAGCATTACGCCGGCTGTCTTTACTTTCCCAGGACAGCCCATCCTGGTACCCATTTTAGGCTGGGTCGACCTGCGACGTCCCCATACCACGACAAAAATCCACGCAGCCTGCAGTGGGTTTCGATCGCGGTATGCTGGCTTATGAGTCCGACTCGCAACGCCTTAGCCACGGACGCCGCTATTTCTTTCAAGTAGCATACTTTAAAGTTGGCATATGTGGCTTAAGTGTTGCGAACGCACTACGTAATGCTACAGTACCGGAATCTATCCCAGCTGTAGCCGATTCAGCACCAGACCACCTTAATTTTCACAGTGGTATTGAAATCTGCCTGTCAGGAAGCAATGGCAAACTACTGATAGTAATATTGCCTTTTAAAAAAAAAACTCCACAAAACATCGAAAAATTGCTGGGCTGGTTCTGCAGTGACCTGTAAAGGACAGCCAAGTAACCTTAGTGTACTTCAAAGTAACAATTTACTGCAAACTGTGATAATTTACTTTACAATGTTATTTCAAAATGACAGTCTATTCGTTGGCATTTTCCCAGATGATAGTGTTGTGTTAGGAGCACCACAGCGTAGAACTCTCACTTGCCCTGGCAATCTAAAAGGACATAATCTAAAGCCATGTGGATGCAGAAAGTAGGGGAAACTACTAAATTATTTTCCTCAAGAAACTCATTATGGATGCCCAAAACAATGAAACTCAAAGATCTGATCGTGAGGCCCCCAGGCCAGGCAGATCACAAACACGAACTGGGGAAGAGAATGAAGACAGAGCAAGTAAGGGTAGTTGTAATGACAGCCTTAAGCCCAACAGTACTACAACAGAAAACTCTACCACCGGGCTAAAGAAAACTCTGAAGTTCCGTCTTCATCTTCAACAGCCAGCGCAGAGTTCCAATACTGATGGTCGCAATCTGGTTATATGTCGGTCTTGCCTTTCCTCTGAGTGTAGTGAGCCGCCAAGACCCTCTGGTTAAACCCAGGTGTCTCATTCTCTCCAGGCCATAATAATCTTGTTTCTCTACTGATTCCGTTGCTTGTTTCCAAAGGGCCTTGACCACATCTGCCTTGTCATGTATCACTTCACCACCCAGTGGTGCAGATCCAGCCAATCAGTCCCCCTGTTCATTACCCACTACGCCGGCATGGCCTTGAGAAAAGATCCAAAGTACGCTCACTACCCGTGACCTTCTGCAATTACCTGATTACTGTTGTGGTGATACATACTTTTGTGTAACACTGATAGGTCCCAAATATAACATTTCTGTCCTTGTTAAACTTCTTCATCATCTCCATGGTGAGTCTGCGAATGGCCGGCTGGAAGTAACTCTGTTCAGCATCGATCATGACTCTCACTTCTTTGCTCTGGGCATACTGGAAGGTAACAGGAAACTGTAAACACTTTCAGCCTCAAACAGTAACACTGACTGCCAAAGGAGGACAACAATCAACAAACAAAAAAAAACCTAAGTGTATTAATTCTCATCCAACATGTGATGCGTAACAGACTTTTCTACATGAATCCCAGCCATCGTGTCTAGTGTATATCCCATTCTACTATTGGTCACAATACACTAAAAAAAATCTTCCATATTGGCTTCTTCTACTCCATAATTTGCCTGTTTGAATGTTACGCATTTGTGACTTTTCATAATGGTCAATCATTCCCCTGGGAATTTGCTGCGAGAACCCCCTTGGATTCAGAGAGTTAACTCTTTCAATCCAAGAAGGTCATAGCTGATGCCCAAATGAGGCAATTATGACAGCAAAAAAATCATGGGCATACTACACCCAAAGGAGCTAAATATGCAACCCTTGAATGAGTCTTGTGTGTTGTTGGGTGTTTTAGTATGCCTTGACTGAACATAAAATATACAAGCATAATAATACTTTGATGGGTGCATATGAAAATCAGGTCACCCATAGTGCTAAGGTTGTTACAAAAAGAGCTGACGTTTTAAAAGGTTTAAAGTTTAAAAGGTTTAAAGTTAAGACTACTGACTTCACTGAACTGAGTATTATCACATTTAACTTGGCTATTTCTGCAGAACAACAGCCACATGCCACTGCATAACACATGAACTCTTAGCCCTATAGAGAGATTTCACAGAGATCACTATAAATTTGCACTCCTAAACTGAATGATGCAGTCAACAACAACAACAACAACAAAATGAACCCATAATCTTCACAACATGTTACAAACAGCTAAACTATTTAGCCACAGAGATCCCTCACAAATTTACTACTAAAACATAGGTTAAATATATACATTATGTTTTTTTTTTTTTTTTTTCAAATTGTCAGATTTCTGTATACACTGTTAATAAATGCAAGAAGTACAGACACATGTGACTGATATACATATAAAATAATCAAGCACTTTTTTGTGTGCACACAAAAAGAATAGCCAGTCAAAAATGATTAACTCACTTGTACACATGAATAACAGCCAATCACAATTGACACACTGACTGGCACACATGAATAACAGCCAATCACAAATGACACACTGACTGGTACACAGGAATAACAGCCAATCACAAATGACACACTGACTGGTACACATGAATAACAGCCAATCACAAATGACACACTGACTGGTATACATGAATAACAGCCAATCACAAATGACACACTGACTGGTATACATGAATAACAGCCAATCACAAATGACACACTGACTGGTATACAGGAATAACAGCCAAACACAAATGACATACTGACTGGTATACAGGAATAACAGCCAATCACAAATGATATACTGACTGTACATATGAAAAACAGCCAATAAAAAATGACACAGTAACTGGTACACATGAATACAGCTAATCATAAATGACACTGTTCAGTACGCATGAATAACAGCCAATCACAAATGACACACTGACTAGTAAACACAAAAAAGCCAATCACAAATGATACACTGAATACACTGACTGGTACACATGAATAATGGACAATGACAATTGATACACTGACTGGTACACATGAATAATTGACAATGACAATTGATACACTGACTGGTACACATGAATAATTGACAATGACAATTGATACACTGACTGGTACACATAAATAATTGACAATGACAATTGATACACTGACTGGTACACATGAATAATGGACAATGACAACTGATACACTGACTGGTCCATACAAAGAGCAGACAATCACAACTGATACAGAGTAATAATAGCCAATCACAAATGATTTTTACTGGTAAAAAGAAAGAAAAAAGTAGTTAATCAAAAAATAACATGTTGAGTGGTGAATTTAAAAAAAAGTAACCAGTTACACACAAGATGTTGACTGGTACATCTGCAAAACAGCCAGTCACAAATGTCACACTGTGACAGAGGTTGACAAGTGCGATTTGTATAAAGACATTTCTTCTAACTCAATGTCATCTCTATGTAGAACAGTGCTATGGAGTTTGCAATGCCTCTCTAAACTCAGAAACCAGCTGGGTATGCAACAAGGGCACTTAAAATGCACACCTGTGGACAGGTATAGGATGTAACCCAAGTCATGATTCAGCATAGGATATAGTGACTGGCTGAAATTAGACCTAGGCTTGTCATGATTAGCGGACAGAGAATCACCAAACAGGCCATGAAATGGAACATTTATGGACTGAGGCCTTTGTTGGTCATGATTAACGTAGACTGAAACAATAAACTGGTAGTGACATGGGAAACAAATGGATAAAGGCCTGGGTTGGTCAAGATCAGAGGATAGAGAATCACCAAACTAGTAGTGAAATGGGAAACAAATGGATTGAGGCCTGGGCTGATTATGATTAGCGGAGAGAGACTCACCAAACAGGTAGTGAAATGGGAAACATATGGACTGAGGTCCAGGTTGGTATGATTAAGGGAGAGAGAATCACCAAACAGGTAGTCAAATGTGAAACACATGGACTGAGGTCTAAGCTGATCATGATTAGTGGAGAGAGAATCAGCAAACCGACAGTGAAATGGGAAACTAATAAACTGAGGAAACAACAATGTCTAAAAGAAACACTGTGATGAATACTAATGAGAGAGACAAAGGTGCTGGACTAGCTTTCATACACAAAATCAAAAGCATTGCACAGGACATAACCGAATAAAAGACTAAACTACAAAGACAGGGTGGAAGGAAGGACTAAACTGCAAAGACAGGGTGGAAGGAAGGACTAAACTACAAAGACAGGGTGGAAGGAAGGACTAAACTGCAAAGACAGGGTGGAAGGAAGGACTTATCTACAAAGACATGGTGGAAGGAAGGACTAAACTACAAAGACAGGGTGGAAGGAAGGACTAAACTACAAAGACACGGTGGAAGGAAGAACTAAACTACAAAGACAGGGTGGAAGGAAGGACTAAACTACAAAGACAGGGTGGAAGGAAGGACTAAACTGCAAAGACAGGGTGGAAGGAAGGACTAAACTGCAAAGACAGGGTGGAAGGAAGAACTAAACTACAAAGACAGGGTGGAAGGAAGGACTAAACTGCAAAGACAGGGTGGAAGGAAGGACTTATCTACAAAGACATGGTGGAAGGAAGGACTAAACTACAAAGACAGGGTGGAAGGAAGGACTTATCTACAAAGACATGGTGGAAGGAAGGACTAAACTACAAAGACAGGGTGGAAGGAAGGACTATACTACAAAGACAGGGTGGAAGGAAGAACTAAACTACAAAGACAGGGTGGAAGGAAGGACTAAACTGCAAAGACAGGGTGGAAGGAAGGACTAAACTACAAAGACAGGGTGGAAGGAAGGACTAAACTGCAAAGACAGGGTGGAAGGAAGGACTAAACTGCAAAGACAGGGTGGAAGGAAGGACTAAACTACAAAGACAGGGTGGAAGGAAGGACTAAACTACAAAGACAGGGTGGAAGGAAGGACTAAACTACAAAGACAGGGTGGAAGGAAGGACTAAACTGCAAAGACAGGGTGGAAGGAAGGACTAAACTACAAAGACAGGGTGGAAGGAAGGACTAAACTACAAAGACAGGGTGGAAGGAAGGACTAAACTACAAAGACAGGGTGGAAGGAAGGACTAAACTACAAAGACAGGGTGGAAGGAAGGACTAAACTACAAAGACAGGGTGGAAGGAAGGACTAAACTACAAAGACAGGGTGGAAGGAAGGACTAAACTACAAAGACAGGGTGGAATGAAGGACTAAACTACAAGCCCCTGTTACATAAAAATTACACATCAGGATGATGGTAGTGGAAAGTGGTTCCTCCACTGGTGTTAGGTACTTCATTGTCGACACACTCCAGTGCAATGACCACAGGGAAAATCATCTTGCAGTTAAAATAGTCAGCCTCTGTGGCTTAGAAGCTGTGAACGTGCTTCATAATTCTGAGACGCCTGATTTGATTACAGCTGCAGGAAATTTGGCAGTAGACCCATTTGTGTTGATTTCAACAGTAGTGTCGAGAGCCACCGTTCTACATGGCAAAGGCAAACTACTGAACGTCAACTTGCCTAGTAAAACCAAACAGTCAAAAACGATTTTAGTATCCAGAAGCCATGAGTTGTTAACCCTGAGGCTCGGTATTATGGATATCGCAATCCTTCGGCCTTGAATCCATGATAAATACTGTAAATCTGGGAGGAATGTTGCTTTTCTGCGTACCCCCGGGAGTGAACCCAGACCACAAGGAGTTCGTCACCAGGTAACTGCGCAATCCGGTTTAGCCAAATACGCTAGCGAGCCGGGCATCTTCATTGCAGATATAGGTAATCTATTTCAAGCGAACGAAAGAAGAAGCAAAAGAATGTATAAAACATAACACCAGGAATGAAATCAAACAGGTGACACTTGCTTACTTTAGCTAAAGTGTTAACTCTTCTTAGCATGCCTTTCATCTGATGTTCTTCCTCCTCCGAAATTCGCTCCACTAAGGGCTGCAATTTTCCTGTCTGCAAAATAAAACAGCTAAACACGTTAGCTAAATCACACAAAAGCACTAGCTTTTAGTACAATCACAAATGTCTGTGAAATGTGGACCTTAACAGCTGAACTCGAAAAGAAGATACAAGCACTGGAAATGCGATCTTTCAGAAAAAATGTTTAGCATAACATACAGAGACCACATCACACATGACGAGGTTCGCCAAATAATTACCATAGGAATTGGAACTCTCTGCTTGCTTGTGAAGATAGGGACGGAGCACTTATGGAATGCTGTGATGTCGATTCTTAATTCAACACAATACCAACTGTCTTGACTTTTCCTAGAATATTTTTCTGACACCTTTTTTCCTGGGTCAATCAGAAAGCCATGACCAGTTGTTGTTTTTTTTTTTTTTTTCCGAATCCACTTCAAAGGTGATTCAAACCTATGTCCACCTAGCCGGCAGACAAGCATGCTAATCACTGCATCATCACGGTTCTCAATCTTCAAAATTCAGTTTTAAAAAAAAATTTTTTTTTTCAACACAAGCTAATTTACCTACTTTTAAGTTTGGCACAACCAGCAGCTTTGACAATGATCTATTGATTTCCAGTAAGTTACTCCAATCTAAGAGATCAACTTCAGAACTGTGGAAGAAAAAAGTTGTATAACGTAACAATGGGGAAAAGCGGCTGGCCAGGTGGTTAGAGGCGCCAAACCTGGATTCAGTCCCTGGCAATAGAGATTTTTCTGTCAGGGGCACATAAATCTCTTTCTCTCCAGAATTGCAACCTGCAGGATTAGCACCTCAACAATGAGAATAAAACAAATCCACAATCTGAAAACCCTCTCCAACCATTTAGCACAGCACCACATCCTTCCAAACAGATGTTCTACTGTAAAAAGTCTCACATGCAATCTCACTAGATGGCCGAACCATTTCATTCATCATTGTATGGAAGATAAGCTGTGTCAGAAATTACTGAAAGTACACAAGATAGAGGGAACCACTGTGGGTGTAGCAGCGAGATGCCCATCTGTGGATAAATAAGTCACTGGTTTGAATTCGAACGGAGCTGGACTTTTTTTTTTAAATGACCCAGTTTCAGGTCATCCTATCCTAAAATGGGTCCCAGGTAAAGTCCTGGAAAGTAAAGCCGCTGGTATGATTCCCAACGAGTGCCGACTGGTCTATACAATATAGTTCTAACACGTGTTAAAAGTCTCTTTTGTAAAGTTGTCTGAAGGCGTGGAGAAAAAAGTCCTGCATTTTTTTACATGAGGCAGAAGGTTGTGGCCAGACATCACAACAACGCCAGACAAGCATGGACTATAAGAAGAAGCTCAATACTTACCCATCACAAGATATGTCCTTTACAGAAACCCACGTCCTCTTCTCTCCTTCTTTCAGCTGCACACCAATGTCCTTTAGTCGTGAATCAAAGTCTTCTAAACCAAACCGCAGCTCCCCTTCGTCAATTTCTCCCTGGGTTTTCTTGATCAAGGCAAAAAAGTGCTTGATTGTGACCAACACCTCAGACATTTGCAGCTGTGCAAGTTGGGAAAATTAACAAATAAGTAAAAAAGCGAAGGATCCCTTCTAAAACTATGAGACATATTTTATCACATTAATTTCCACTTATGCCATTATGCCTTTTAGAGAGGAACAGTTTGCAATCCACTGCTTGATGGGCAGCATTGGCTACTGTCATTCCTTGTTGATGTAGAAACTCTTTAATGTCATCAATCCATATTCTCCTTGGGTGGCCTCTTGCAGATCTTTTCATGCATAGCGCCTGCGTTGGTAGTTGTTCTAGCTGCATTCTATACGGAATTTTGTTCTTTTCTGTTATTTCACCATATCATGCCGTCTTTGAGATCTGGTAGGGAAATTCACGGACCGCCCGATAGTATAGGGGGTTAGGCTTATTAGTAGTCACTATTCATTTAACACTAGCCCTAACACCCCTATACTATGGGATGGTCAGGGGATTTCCCTACCGGATTTTGAAGCCGGCGTGATGTGGTGAAAAAAAAAGAAAAGAACCAAAATCCCTAATATCAAGTGATGAACATAACAGTTTTCCCCCCAAAAAATTAACATTTCAAAACACACAAAAAAGCAAAAAACAGTAAAGGACCTTTTCTCTCTTTCTACTGGGCATCAGACGTGTGTTGCCAGACCCATAGCTTTATAGATCAATCAGCACCTGATAGGTGAACCGGTCAACAACATGCTGCCTTTATTTTTCAAGACAATTCCTGCTACCTATTTCAGCCTGGGTTAACCTGGCAGCAAAGATCATGATTAAAAAAAATCTGCCTCAATACAGACTTGAACTAAAGACTCTCGGGGCAACAGTCAAGCATGTGTCCAGTCACTGCACTAATGTAACATTTTGTAAATGATCTCATGTATGAACACTGTCTCACCAAGAGCTGTGGCTTCCCCAGTGCTGTCAGTTTCACTGCAGCAAATCCAGATTTTTCTGTCGCATCTGAAAACATGTTCAAACAGATCTTTATTTTTCTTTTCAAATTAAGAGTTCTAGTCTTTTATCATTAAAATCCTACAATGAAGTTAAGACTGAATTCAACTTTCTATCTGTGAATTTTGACAGGGATGCCATACACACACAAAAAAGATAGTCAGTGCACGAAATTGACACAGTCTGCTTAATTTGCAAGTAGTGTTGTTGGCACATTGCAGTAATCAATGTTAAGAAGAGATCACAGAGATAATGAATATACTGTTGGTGAAACAAGGCAACAAACATCTGCCTGTGGCACATCAGCTAGACACTCACCTGCGAATCCAAAGGTCCAGATGGAGCCAGGCCTTTTTTTTTTTTTTTTAAATTACCTTGGCTCCCTGGTCGACCCAGCCTTAAATGGGTACCAGGTAAAGTCATGGGAAGCAAAGGTGGCCAAATACGCCTGAAGGCTATATATGCCAAATACGCCTGAAGGCTATATATGCCAAATACGCCTGAAGGCTATATATGCCAAACATGCCTGAAGGCTACATATGCCAAATACGCCTAAAGGCTATATATGCCAAACATGCCTGAAGGCTATTTATGCCAAATACGCCTGAAGGCTATATATGCCAAACATGCCTGAAGGCTATACATGCCAAATACGCCTGAAGGCTATATATGCCAAATACGCCTGAAGGCTATACATGCCAAATACGCCTGAAGGAATGGAAATAGGTTCTTTACTTGCATTTACCACTTTTTTTTTCAGCCAAGTAGGACGAGTGAGATTTCAGATTGAGAAATTCAGGCCATATAGCTGCTGCAGTCATCACAAATTGTGCATGCTGGGATTTCATTTTCGCTACTGACAGAAAAAAAAAGTTGCCATCATCTTAACAAGGATTCTTCTTCGCGCTCAGTGGCTGTAAACTGAATCAGAAAGTTCTGGTTGTTATTCCACTTTAGTCTTGTTCCAGAAGCTGAGTTTTGCATGCACATCTGTTTTACAGGTCTGGTTTATGTGTATGCAGACTGTGGGTTCCCTGCCTCTCAGGCAGATGCACCCCAACTTCAAAGGAAAAACCCCTAATTGGTTTACTCTAACAGCATGCTTATTAGGGAGGCAGTGGGTCTCCCCCCCCCCCCCCCCCCCAATGGGCCCTAGAACCCGCACACGGAACCAAGGATTCAAACCTGGCTGGTTTCCCAAATGAGAGACCAGCTTTCCTAGCCACTCAGCCAGCCCGGTCAAGGGAAGAAAGATTCAAAAAGTTACAGCAGCAAAGTGGCAAACAGGTTCACCATCTACTTTCAACTCAAAGATTTCCTTTGAGATCATGAAAACTCAAGGTATTCTATTACTATAAAACAGTCACATAAGAGAAGTAAAAACTGATATTTCAGTGTTACCTTTTAACATAATAACTTTATGGCAGCAGGGAAGGACTAAACACATTCAACTTTAACTATACTGTCCATCCTTTGAGCATTGGGTTAAAGGCTGTTGAAAATGAAACTCCTATAGCTTGTGAACAGAACAGTACAAAGCTAGGCTTAATGCCACCTGATCCTGGTTAATCTTCTCCACAGATGCAAAGCTCCAGTACTGGTCCTGCACAACAAGCTGATTCAGAGCTTGGAAAGGGGAAGGCAGAGCATTGCCACACACTCCCAGGGAAGATGGAACTTTAGTACTGCGTGTTCCTCACGTGGGCTCCAGGTCAAACAGAACTGGAGGGGTGGGGGGATAAACCCACTGCCCCTTAACGACTAAGGTGACTAATTAGGAGTCTATTGAAATTAGATGTGCTGGGCTGAAAGGTGCAGATATTGCAGCTTAGCTGTAAACCACAACACAATGTGCCAACAGCCCTTCAAAGGGTGAACAAAGAAGAAGGTGCTGGGTTTGGAGAATAGAACTGTTACACTGGCTATACTTAGAAAGAAACAATATTCTCTCGGATTTATCTCACAGAAACATCAGTTAAATGATTTTTATGTATTCTTGTCTGTAACTGTAATACTGTCTATTCATGCCATGTGCTGATGAAGGCTTTCTAGCTGCAGCACTCACTTGTTGTTTGTGACTGATGAAGGCTTTCTAGCCAAAATGCTCACTTGTTGTTTGTGATTGTGACTGATTAAGGCTTTCTAGCAGTAACGCTCAGTTGTTTGTAATTGTGACTGAACACTAATGTAGTCAATCTTCAGAGTTAAAACTCATTCTTCTAGAGGATTCACCAAACATTCTACCAATCAACTAGATGGCTCTGACGAATTTCTTAAAGACCATGCTGTGTGGCTTTGGTAGTTATGTCTATCCACAACCTTCTGTCTTGTGTACTTTCAATCAACTATGATACAGATGATCCTCCATGCCAGACTGTTCAGCATCTTTACTCTGGGTATCCCTTTGCCTTTCTTCTCCTCCAACTTTTCTACTGTCATGGTGTACTTCTATTTTTTCCTTCTAATTAAGTTATGACAGAATGTAAATTGTCTATTTCTGATTTGGGCAACTGGTTTTCTTTGTGAGTCATTTTCTTTCAAGACATATCTATCACTCTCATTCGTCTATAAAACCACATCATAGCTTCCAAATAATTTTTCACAATTCTAGCAACTGTCCATGATTCACTTCCACAAAGAGACAAAGATTTACAAATTTGCAGGACATCAAGAGCCTTTACTTCAAGGAACATCCTGGGGGTGGGTGGGGGGAGATGGTTGAAGAAGAGGAGGGCAAAGAAGAATCTGGAATAACAACATCAAGAAATGCATAAGACTAAGTTATCATACACTTATTCATTTAGCGGAAGACAGAGAAAGATGGTGATAGTGCTTCCATCGATACACCTCCATGATCCTAATGGGTCAAGGGTTATGTTAAGTTTATAAGGGTATGATTTGTATAGCTTTTAAGAATTCGCTCTCTTGTGTCAGTGGCCAAAGAAACATTGCATTAAATATTCTTCATTTTGTAAAATGCTGTATTTGCTTGAGCTATTCCACATTTAACCTCTGAGAAAATTACTAAAGTTTAAAAGCCATTAGAAAAGCAACATCATCAACAACACATTTTAACAATAAAAGAAATGAGCTTCTGTTTATATATATAAAAACATACGGGAAACTGCATCAATACAGTTGAGAAAGATCTGCATGTTTTTATCACACTGCTCTTCGCCCTCGTAGAAGTAGGTTCTTGCACTTGTCACCTTTTCACGCCTGTCACCAAATTCTTCATGAGCTCTAAACTGGGAACCCGTCACACCTGAAGGAAAAAAATTAGCCATATCATTATTCAATACGTTAACTCCTCTGATGTGTTTCTGTCTGGCTGTGGTAGAGGGATTTGTGATTTCTAATGACCCCAATAACTATGATGAGGGTAGCATGGCTATTGGTAACATCTTCACTTAACTATTTTGTTACCAAATGATTTCTATGTTTATTGGTTAGTCCAAAGACTGTATGCTTTTCTGACTCTCTTCTAAAGCAGACAGTAATTTACTGATTTATTGGTTTAAGAATTGACATTCTAGCACAAAAGGCATAGTCATAGATGCTCCATCTCCCATGGCAAATTTCTTAAGATGTAGATGCTGATTGTTCTCATAGCACACTGATTATACACATTTTGTTCTCTTCCTCCAATACCTCCCATCCTGCCAGATCCAATCCTAATTCCAATCACACATTTTATTTTATCTAACCTCTTGCCTTCTATGACTATTAGCATTTATTCATAAATGGTCTTTACAATGTCTTCTCTGTCCAGTATCAGTGTTCCTGTAGCTACTACTTTTGTAGCCAAAAATCCACTCTTTCGTTCTCTCTCACACTTCAGTATATCTTAGATAGTACATCCACATATCCAAATGCTCATGCTTGGTATCCACTCATTCCACATTTGTCACATTTTTTAACCTTCACAATAATCTGCCTGAACAAACAGTTATAACATTTACCCATTTTTATCTCAGTTATTTGTTAACTATTTCTACTCCTTACGATTGAAACACTGATTTCTTTAAAATGTCCATCACAAAATGGACGCTAGGCAAGGCCACCTTTTTTTTCTTTCTGCCAGATGGTGGTCATTGCATTTTTGCTCCATTTGTAGACTGGAAGGATATAGTTTCGTCGCCCAGCTTCTGGGTTGAGTGCATGGTGTGACACTGTGAGCTACATGTGTTTTTCGCTGGCACGGGAGCGGAGCAACTATGGGGTGACCTGTTTGCTATGAAGCTGAAACTAGGATTACCAGATTTAAAATGTAACTTTTGTAACAGATAGAGCTGAAGTATTTACAGGCTGGTACTGAAAGAGCTGGAGTGGCAAAGCAACTAGATGCTAGCCTGTCAGACTAAATGTTTTTGGTTTGAAGTCACACTTAGGTTTTTTTTTTATGGTCGTGGCTCCCAGGTGGACTCAGTGTACAATGGACATCATGTTAAGTCCTAGGAAACAAAGGCAGCCGGAGTGATGTTGACCACATCATCATCAAGTCCCAGCTGGTCTATAACAAATATGAACCTAGCATCAAATGCCTGATACACCGCTTGTGTGAAAAGGGGGCCATACTTTTTCAGCACTGAAAGACAGAAATAAACAGAAAAGGACTTAAGGCCATAGAAACATTATATATAATAAACAGACATTTGTCATTCTGTGCCCATTGTAAGATAGCTGGGTCAACTTTAATATGGCTTATTTACTCTAGAACAAATACAGCTTTCTATAATTTACCACACTGAAATGCCGCTCGGATTGCCATAGACATTCTGCCAGTTTATTTCTTCTATTCCATCACATGTACTTAATAGCAGTCCTCGCTGTTCACCTTCACAAATGTGCCACAATATTCATTTACTCAACGTTGACTACACTTAATTAAAACTACAGTGATGACATCATGACTGTCCTCATCTAACTCTGGTGCACAACTGACCACGAGTCTACCTCAGACTTTCCCTATCTTTCCGTTCAGCCCCAAGAATCTCGTGCGCTCGTTTGCCGCACGGATTTTCTGCTTGACTTGCTGGGAGCATGAAGACCATGTAAAGCACCTCATCACACCCACAGAGAGTAGTAGGGGTAGTGATTGATACAGTACTGATGGAGTTACTGGACAATTCAAGGAAGAGCTACCAGATAATGTCGAATGTTGAATTAAGAATCGACATCATAGCACTTGGGATACTCCCATAAAAGCTCTGTCCCTATCTTCAGCAGCAAGCTGATAATACCAGTAACTGTCTGATTGTACACATGTCTAGCCCTTCCCCCGAGTGTTGAGCATCTACTAATTAATGAGAGGATAAATCTGCTGTAGACAGCCAGAAAACAAAGACTACATTTTAAAAAAAAAGTATTCGTCAAAATCAAATGTGCTGAGTCCAGATTTTTTCATTAGGCAGGGCAAAATCTTTTTCTTAGTGTTCACCAGTTGTAACCTTTTGTAGAAAGTTTTGGTTGCTCGTTGACTTTTGAACTTTAGTCTTGTTCCAGAACAAGTAGTCACAGTATACCAGTGACCAGCATGCTGCTTGCATGACGGCTCAATGGGTATGTGTTCGAATCCATTTGAGGCAATGAATATTTTTTTTTAAATCATCTTCACTTAAGGTCAATGTAGCCTAAAAAGGAAACTTCATTACACTGCTAGTTTATTATATGAATACACATAAATTTATATGATTAATTAACTACAATTTTATAAATCAAAGTGGCTTCCTTGAAGAAGAAAAAAAGCAGCTGGGTTTGATTGTTGAATTTGTACTTCAGTTATAAAGGATTAACTTAGTTGTTTCATTCAGATATGGCTGTAAAGTTACACACAGACACAGAGAGAAAGAGAGACACACACAAACACAGAGAGACAGTGAACCGAGAGAGAGAGACACACACACAGAGAGACAGTGACCCGAGAGAGAGAGAGAGAGAGAGAGAGAGAGAGAGAGAGAGAGAGACACACACACACAAACACAGAGACAGTGACCCGAGAGAGAAAGAGAGACACACAAACACAGAGAGACAGTGACCCGAGAGAGAGAGACACACACACAGAGAGACAGTGACCCGAGAGAGAGAGAGAGAGAGAGAGACACACACACAAACACAGAGACAGTGACCCGAGAGAGAGAGAGAGAGAGAGAGAGAGAGAGAGAGAGACACACACACAGAGAGACAGTGACCCGAGAGAGAGAGACACACACACAGAGAGACAGTGACCCGAGAGAGAGAGAGAGAGAGAGAGAGAGAGAGACACACACACAAACACAGAGACAGTGACCCGAGAGAGAGAGAGAGAGAGACACACAGAGAGACAGTGACCCGAGAGAGAGAGAGACACACACAGAGAGACATTGACCCGAGAGAAAGAGAGACACATACAAACACAGAGAGACAGTGACCCGAGAGAGAGAGAGAGAGAGAGAGACACACACAGAGAGACAGTGACCCGAGAGAGAGAGAGAGAGAGAGAGAGAGAGAGAGAGAGAGAGAGAGAGAGAGAGACACACACAGAGAGACAGTGACCCGTGAGAAAGAGAGACACATACAAACACAGAGAGACAGTGACCCGAGAGAAAGAGAGAGAGACACACACAAACACAGAGAGACAGTGACCCGAGAGAAAGAAAGACACACACAAACAAAGAGAGACAGTGACCCGAGAGAAAGAGAGACACACACAAACACAGAGAGACAGTGACCCAAGAGAGAGAGAGACACACACAAACACAGAGAGACAGTGACCCGAGAGAGAGACACACACACAAACACAGAGAGACAGTGACCCAAGAGAGAGAGAGACACACACAAACACAGAGAGACAGTGACCCGAGAAAGAGAGAGACACACACAAACACAGAGAGACAGTGACCCGGGAGAAAGAGAGACACACACAAACACAGAGAGACAGTGACCCAAGAGAAAGAGAGACACACCCAAACACAGAGAGACAGTGAACCGAGAGAAAGAGAGAGACACACACACACACAGACAGTGACCTAAGAGAAAGAGAGAGAGACACACAAACACAGAGAAACAGTGAACGGAGAGAAAGAGAAACACACACAGAGAGACAGTGACCCGAGAGAAAGAGAGAGACAAACAAACACAGAGAGACAGTGACCCGAGAGAAAGAGAGACACACACACAGAGACAGTGACCCGAGAGAAAGAGAGACAAACAAACACATAGAGACAGTGACCTGAGAGAAAGAAAGACACACAAACACAGAGAGACAGTGACCCGAGAGAAAGAGAGACACACACAAACACAGAGAAACAGTGACCCAAAAGAAAGTGAGACACACACAAACACAGACAAACAGTGACCCAAGAGAAAGAGAGAGACACACACAAACACAGAGAGACAGTGACCCGAGAGAAAGAGAGACACAAACACAGAGAGACAGTGACCCGAGAGAAAGAGAGACAGAGAGAGAAAGAAAGCAAAGCAATCCCAACAGATGTCTTCACATGTTAGTTTCTAATACTGTTAACCATAAATTGGTTTTATTAATTTACTGCAATTCTGAATTGAATACAGACCAAAGTTGCCAGTAGAAGTCATGGCTCTACTCTACATTTACTATAAACAATTAGAATGTAAATATGAGAATGTGTAAATATGGTTAATTGCTTTTGAAAAGTCTAAGTATATGTGATGCCCCATAAAATCTGGTACACATTTCAATAAATGTATGAAACAGAATGTATAAATATGGTTATCAGTATATGCTGACAGAGGTCAAGCATATGAGCAATTTTTCACAAATTCAGGGTTAGATAATTTAAGTACGAAAATAATAACCAAAATTACATACAAATTTAAGTTGTCCTTGTTATTTTAATTTAAACAATATAAATTTTAATTTACAATAGACACCTGGAAGGCTATATATGCAATCCACTTCAATATCTTGTGCAATCCACTTCAATATCTTGTGCAATCCACTTCAATATCTTGTGCAATCCACTTCAATATCTTGTGCAATCCACTTCAATATCTTGTGCAATTCACTACAATATTTTGTGCAATTCACTTCAATATCTTTAGCATTCCTCTTCAATGTCTTGCGCAATCCACTTCAATATCTTGCACAATCCACTTCAATATCTTGTTATCTTGTGCAATCCACTTTAATATCTTGTGCAATCCACTTTAATATCTTGTGCAATTCATTTCAATTTAATGGATGAAATCAGTCCAGCACTCTTGACTTCTCTCATCAATGCTTCAACTTAGGGCTTCTCTTAAGCGTCCTGACTTCCTCAGCCCATCTACAAGGTTCGACAATTAAGTAGTGAAACTGATTTTATTATGGCCAAGATAAAAATGTCATCTATGAAGCAAAGCATGGAATCTAAAGAGGCAAACGCATCTATGATCTGGCAACTTTCATAGCTGCCTCGATAAACAAGCCGCCATTTCATTGACCTAGTCTGTGGTGCATTGTTACGTAATCATCACAGAGGAAAAAAGCTAACAACAAATTCTTTTTAAAACTCAGAAAAAGCGCCACTGAATCAGTTGAAATGATGTAACAAGTTTATGGGGATAATTGTTTATCTCGTGCACAAATTTTCAGGTGGTATTCATGATTTAAAAGTGGTGTGGAAATGATTCCTAATACACCTAGACCTGGATGTCAAATTTCTGTTCGTAATTATGAACTCATTGCAAAAGTCAGAGAACGGATATAAGAAGATCATTGTTTTACTGTGAGGATGATGGCAGATGAATCTGGTGTTAATAGAGAGACAATTCATAACATTTTAGTGCAAGATTTTGGCAAGAAAAAGTTGCTTGCCGGTTTGTACCACATTCGTTGTCTGATGACTAAAAACAATAGCGGGTTGAGTACCCAAGAGATATCATCTAAACAAGAATTTTTGACCAAAAACAAGTGTGTGTTCTCAGCCTTCCACCCTAATTCCCAGATTTGTCTCCTTGTGATTATTTTCTATTCCCAAAATTAAAGTTACGATTGAAAGGACGCTTTTTAACGATATTGATGACAACCAAAAGGCCGTAACATCGACTTTAAGGGCCATAACAATAGAAGAACTACAGAGGTCGTTCCAGTGTGTGTTAGATTGTGCCACTTGCTGTATCAATGCACATAGGGCTTACTTTGAATCAGATACAGGTTATCTTCAACTGTTGATTATTTTAATTGTTATGGAATCAGTCTCCTTACTTAATTGTCAGACCTTGTATTTCCCATTTCAGTGCCTGTTTGGGAATTGTCTGTTCGTCTCTTCTCAGCATATGTCCAGTAAAGAGCCACCTTCTCTGTCTTACAACTGTTGATACTAGTAGTTGCCAAGACATTTATTTCTTGGCTCCTCTTGAATTCATCTCATTTTAACCCTTAACTATTCACTTTCACAACATGCTTGGTAAGCAGCGTTCAACCTATTCTTTTTTCCTCTAAAACATACATCCTGGAACCCACATGAGGCATGGTGAAGTTACAAGCTAGATAATGAATGTAGATATCAAAAGAATTGAAAGATGACTAGTTGGGAAAAGTATTTTCAAAAGTCATTTTTAAAATTGTCAATTTAAAGTGAAACTATAAGGTTCTGAGATATTTATTGTCTTTCTTTTAACAATATTATGTCAAAGTATTGTCATCAATCTGGTCTGGTAGTCCTAGTTTCAGCTTCATAGCAAACGGGTCACCCCATCTTTGCTCCGCTCCCGTGCCAACGTAAAACACACAGAATGTTTATCACAGTCCCTCGTGGAAGGATTGACAGACTGCTGTCTCAGCAGATCTAGCATACACTCGCATTAAAGCATATGGTAGCCATCTGAAGTGCTAACACAAACAGTCCGACATTAGTTCATCATTGATGGTAGCAGAAGTCACCAACAGATCTCCAGTTGCCCATGCAATCAATTTTAATCACACACGGGCACCACCAAAATTGCAACAACAGGCATAGCGCCATTTTCTGAATCTACAATTCACACCACCATGTTGGTCACAGTCGAAAATAAATTCCAAATGAAATCTGCAGCTCACAGTGTCACGCCATGCATTCAACTCAGAAGCTGGGCGACGAAACTGTATCTAGTCTACAAATGGAACAAAAATGCATCGGCCACCGTCCGGCAGAAGCAAAAAATTTGCCTCGCCTCGGCTCCAAAATCAATGATAACTTGTTCAACCTTGGTTTATAACTGCCTAGCGTCCATTTTGTTCCAGAAAAGTCATCATTATGACAGTAACTTTCGTTGATATTTGTTCAACCTTTCTGGTTTATAGGCGTTTACTGGAATAGTATTTTCTAGATTTTTACCCCGGGATATCTAGTTTCTTATGAGGCGTTTAAAGTTTTTCTCTTTTAATATTATTATATTACAGTATTTTCATTAATGATATTTGTTCAATCCTTCTGGATTACAACCGGGATATCTAGATTTCCCCATTATGTTCTGAGGCGTTTAAAGTTTTTCTCTTTTAATATTATTATATTACAGTATTTTTGTCAATGATATGTTGTTCAATCCTTCTGGATTACAACCGTTATATCTAGATTTCCTCATTATGTTCTGAGGTGTTTAAAGCCTTTCTCTTTTAACATTTTTCATGCAATAGCATTTATACAAACAACATCATGTTCAACCCTACTGGGGTATAGCTAGGATATCTACATCTTGCAATATGGTTTCCGGGGCCAATTTTTTTCAAGTAAAAAGAATAGACATTTTCTAGCTAATACTTTTTCTTTACAACATATTACACCACATATTTCAGAAAGTTATGTTATTCTGTTATGCTACACGCCAAAACGTATATTTACAAATTTTATTTTAAAAAATGTTCCATTTATTAGTCCCAAATGGGACAGTCAAAGTTTAGGAGCTTATGATTCTTCCTCTTATTTAGACACTGATAAAGACTTCAGTCAAAGCATTTAATCTTAGTTGAAATGCAGAACTGCTGTTGGTACACTACCGCAGATGTTGGATGTTATCCATTTAAAATAAAAAAATTCATTCAGAAAAACCATAAGTACCAAAGTTAATGTTAATAATGGAAAAAAACCAAAAAGACACTAGAAAGCAAACAGAAATAGCAAGCATGTGTTAAGTGTGAGGGGTTAGTTTCTTAAGATTCCACAATAAAAACTAACTTACTTTCACTAGAAGCAGCTGAAAAATGAGATCACGTACGAGAACTATATGTAGTAAATAGTTATGGAAATAAATGTATAAACAGGCTGTGTTGTGTCATTATGAACAAGTGTGTTATGTAGGAGACGCAGCTGACCGAAAGTTGGGAATGCAAAGCTCTCATCTAGGAGACCCAGATTCAAATCCTCGGTAAGGTCATGGATTTTACTTTGCCAGGGGCAAAAATAAAACCTTAACTTGGACAGGCCGTGGTAACTGCCCTAGCCATAATGGTCCTAAATCCTCAGACTCAAAGACCTGGCTGAATGCACCACAAAAACAGTAAATACAGACAGCAATTAGCAGTGATTTGTTTCTATCTGTTAATTATGTCCGTACATATTAGTTAGTGCCGGTTTATTATTTCTTCTTTGGCTCCCTGCGCTGTGCTCCTGTCTAGCCACATCTTTTTTAACTTGCTGTTCTTGCAGTCTGATCATGGTTGCAGATTCACCATAACCACTCAGTTCTTGCAAGTCTTACTTCAGTATACCAGCCTGGTGCATGGCTCGTCCGCTCTCCACAGTAACCTTGCCTCCAAGCACATCAGCTTGTACACCTGCATACTATGACATTAAAATTACAATGATCTTTGTCAATCGTGACCACATCAGGGGGACCAACCCTTGTCTCCGGGTCCAGCCCATCTCTATCTTCCTGGACATACTCACTGAGTCAATGATTAGCAGAGTGTAATACAGCACATCGGGAATTGTTTGGTCTCGAGGCATGGCATCCGCCTTCAGTGCTGGAGGTTCTGGCTTGAAGCCCCGGTGAAGACTGGGATGTTTTTACATGGACTTCTAGTAATTTCCCCTGGTCTCAGGGTAGTCAGATCGGACACCCGTGTGTATTGTTGCGCACGTAAAAAATCCCTTTGCAATTGCAAATTGAAAAAGAGTAGCCTACCAGCGCTGCCCAGGCATAATTTTAAATTGAAAATCTACCCAAAGTATTTCAGGATCCTCACTAGTGCTAAAGAGTTCATGCACTGTGCTGAGATTCTTCTGACTCAGGCTTGAGTCAGAAGTAAAACGGAGCACTTATGTGTTACTACCTGTGAGCCATAATGTTGATCCGTCGTCTAAACTATCTAAACCAATACAGCATGTGGCAAACTAAAAACAGATTCATTATTTTGAAGATTTATTTAGTTTGGGAATATTTTAAATTTTAATGACAGAGGGAGAAACATATGAACTAGAGACAAAAAGGAGTTGCAGGAAGGTAACAAACAGAACAGGTTGCCTAAGTGTGAGTTTACTGAGGGCTTAAGTCCCACTTGCAGAAAAGTCAAGGAGGAGCAGCAGCATCAGGGGGAGGGGGAGAAGTAAAGAAAAAGAAGAAAAAGAAGAACAACAATAAAATCCTGAAGACCTTAATGCAGCTGTTTGTTTTACATACCTGTATTGTCCACATCTGCATACTGCGGAACACATCCTCTAAAGATATAAAATTAGAAAAATTTAACAAAAAAACAAAAACAAAAAGATTATATTTGTTAACATGTTCACAACAAAATATAAATCAGTGTTCATTTAAGATTACTGTTTTCTGATTTTCTAATGAAGTCAACATCATGTAGGTCATCTATTCTTTCTGGAATATTATCTGGGACACACTTGAGGGTGGATCAATCTGGGAACCAAGGGCAATTTTGAAGAAAAAATATGTCCTGATATAGATCTGAACTGCAGACCTTCAGCTGCGCTATTTTAAACCCCCACTCCAGCTGTTGGTTGGGGGCCCTAATATAACCTAACGGCTGAATGGAGTTTCTGGGACAAGCGCCCGGGTAATTCTCATCCAAATGTTGGCACTTTGTGTCACCGAGTATTTGTCGTTCATTGTGCGTTCCAGGTGGGGTTGAACTTCATTCATTAATCCAGCCACTGTGCTACCATAGGAACAGAATGTGTAAAAATCTTGTGCATCTACAAATTGAGAAGAATGAGCCACACAGAATGAGGAAGACAAAAGAGCAGAAATATCAACAGCATTAATTACCTGACAATAACGCAGACATGACATATAGGCCTAGGACATAAACTACACTATAGTTCTCCATGGGGATGCAGAAATGCACCAGGATCTAGGTTTATACGGGTCAAGACCTGCCTACACCTCTCCGTGATCACCCCAGAAACAGGGTCCCAGATGACTGGCCAATACAGATAGGACTGACGTTTCATTTGAAGCTGGAACTTGAAAGGTAAGGAACCAACAGGCTGCACACAAATAAGCCAGATCTAAAACATGGATGTGCACGCAACACCTAAGTCCTGGAGCCAGTCCAGAAGTGGATAAATGACCAGAACTTGTTTGCCGTAGTTTACAGCTAATAAATGCGAAGAAGAAGGAGGAGGAGGAGGGGGAGGAGGAGGAGGAGGAGGAGGAGAAGAAGGAGGAGAAGGAGGAGGAGAAGCAAAAGAAGAAACAGTTCTCCATAATATCTCACAATAATGTCTGAACAGGGAACCAATAAAACTGAAACTGTTGAACACTGAATGGAATGAATTCAAGGAAAGTGAAGAAAGCAGAGAAATGTCTGGACAACTGTTAGCAGCAATGGTTATAAGACATCGAAGATAGCGATATACTGAACCCATTTTGAGAATCAGGCAGAGAATCACAAAACAGGCATTAAAACATGAAACAAAAAGTCTGAAGAAGTGAAGATGTCCAAGAAATATCTCAAGATGCCAAAGGTGCCCAAGTGGATTCCACCCTCGATATAAAAAAGACTGCATAAGACAAAATGAAATGGAGGAATCAACTTTGAGCCTGAAGTGAAACAGAAATGGCACAATAAGATGATGACGACGGTGATGATGTTAAAGATGATTAAGGTGATCATGATGGTGGAATTTACTTACTCCATTTCAGCCTCTGTAGCTTCTTCTTTTGTTAAATCCTCTTCGGCACTGTAGTCCAGTATAGATTTCACCCCAAACTTCCTCATCTTCATTATCAATGGTTTGATTGCTTCTTGATCTTCCCCCGCCACAAAATGGCCATAGAATGTCATTTTCATCAACGCCGTGAAAAGGCGCTGGCCGAGAAGTTTGCGTGACCATTTTAGGATCTACAAACAGACAATTAGAAAATGTATTTATGTCTACAAATATAGAAATAAAAGGTACAACATTAAGAGGATTAATCAAAGCCTGAAATAAAAACCACATTTTGGTAATAATACTATACTATTCAACAGTGAACAACTTTATGTTCAACATTTACACGAAGCATTTGTTTTCAAATACATTTCACTTTCATTCCAGTGAATATCTATAGTAGACAAATCATAATAGTGTGCTATGTGTTCTCCATGTTTCTGCCAGGGCTAGGCAACAGAAAAAAATTTTTATATAATTTGCTCTTTCACTCAAATAAAACTTTAAAATATGCAAATAACACCCTGATCTGCCCCATCATCCATGTCTTACCACCTTTGTAAGGAAAGCAAAGAGTGGCACTGCAACCAACCACACACATCACAAGAAGCAGCTAAGAATTGTGTTTCTGTGGCGAAGTGGTCAAGCCGTTTGTCTTGCACTGTGAACGATGAAAGTTCATTTAACAGCTGCAGTTTGGTTGCAATTTTCACTACAGAGACTCCTGGGGATCCTACCTGTAGCTAAAAAGTTTGTGCTTGGTGCGATGCTCTCAGCCTCTAGTCTTTAACCTGGAAGGGTTGGTGTGAGATTAGTTAACTCATCTCATATACTGATTCCAGAACTCAAGTTCTGTGTGAAGGCTCTCTAGTCTTTAACCTAGAAGGGTTGGTGTGAGATTCGTTAACTCATCGCCTAAACTGATTCCAGAACTCAAGTTCTTGTTTGTGATGTGAAGCTGACTGGCTCTACTGTTCGTCTGCTCTGATTTTACAGATCTAGCTTTTGTGTGTGCAGGTTCCTCACCTTTATGGAAGATGCTTGAGTCTTCGAAGCAAACACCCCTAATTAGTCACCTTTTATGACCTGTTGTTAGAGAAGCAGTGGGTCTAGTCTTTGTTAGTAAAAACACATTAGGAGTTTCAAAGATGAGTGTTCGAAAGGGCTGAATGTAAGGTGGGCCTGTGTGCCCAATTTGTGACACTTGAAAAAAAAAATCTCTGTATTCAAAATGGGGTCCTGGAATTATACAGCTACCCTCCATTTGCCTTTGTGTTGTTACCTTACGCTCATAATATATATATATATATTTATTTTATTGAAGTGTAACATACTTTGTTGATTAAAAAAACAAACAAATAATGGCAGTCTGAAAGGTGAGTGTCTGAAAGGGTCAAATATAACATGGACCTTTTGCCCAATCTGTGACACTTTAAAAATAAATTATTTTTGGGGGAAACATGAACAGCAAAAGAAAAAAGGTCAAGATTCAGCACAGCATCCACTGACAGGGTAGAATTATACTAGGCTGACCCCAGACAACCCTAAGTAACGCTGTTGTTGGCACCTCTCCATTTGTCCAGACAGAAGTTTTATGCAGCAGTGTAAGGAAGGAAGCAGAGGAATTATCACCTTCTGATGTTCAGATCTTTGAGAATGTCAGTATTTCACTTATGAATCACAATCTTCTGATGTTCAGACCTTTGAGAATGTCAGTATTTCACATGGGAATCACAACCTTCTGATGTTCAGATCCTTGAGAATGTCAGTATTTTTTTATTTTTTTTTTTGTGAGGCAAGTTTAGACATTCAAATATCTGGATACCTTTGGCAATATTACATAGAAGACTTACTACAGAAACTGAAACAAACAAACCAAAAAAAAAAAAAAAAAAAGGCTTTCCCCACCCCTTTCCGGAATAAAAAACTTTCATCATCTTACTGAGGAACTGAACATGGGTCTCCCATATAAGAGCTAGGGACATAACCCCTCTGCCAATTCTCATCTACTACAGCAGTATTCCTTAACTTTTTTTCAAGTCACAACTCCATTTTACAGAAGTAATTTGACCTGTAACTCCCATACATTAAAAACAGGCTCTTTAACAGGGTAAATAAAAACACATCAAAAATTGACTTTTTTCAGGATAATAAATTTCAAAATAATATTAACCTAGACACATGAAATTTAATGTCTGCAACTGTACCAATTAACAAGCTTATAAATCTGCAGTTCAGTTTTTGTTAATGCCTAACTTATGTCATTCTCAACATATATTCTGTTTCTTGTTTTAGCTTTTAACAGAAGCACTGAAAAATCCACGCTCACAGAGATGTTAGTTAGTTACATATCCTTTACAGGACGTTGCAGAACCAACCCCAGCATTTTGTTGCTGTTGTGGTTTTTTCTAGACAAAACTGTCAAAACCAATGCAGGACAGACCGTCCACAGCTGGGATAGAACCCGACACCCCTGCATAACGAAGCACATTTGCAACGCCTAAGCCACAGACGCTGACTTGTGCAGAAACAAAGGAGATTACAACTCAAAAAGCAAGCATGGTGTCTTTTGGATATGACTGAAACATAGCAAAACATAACTTAGTCAACAATGTTTCATCAAATAAGGTGCATGCTGGGAAATTTCTGTGCAGGATGGTGGGATTTTTGTTGTTTTCTCTTTTAAAAAATGTTCATACATCATCCCTGCCCAACGACCCCACATAGAATCTTTGCGAGCCCTTTTGGTGTCATGACCCATAGGTTGAAAACCTGTGTACTACAGAAATAAGAAGTAGAAATGGTTCAGAAAAATGTTACTTTATTTATTGAAATTAAGGAATAGAATAGACTGACCACCAAAAAAATAATTCCTCTTCCTTCTTCCCTCCTCCTCCTTCTTCTTCACCCATCCCCCTACCCCATCCTTCTTCCTCCTCCTTATTCTGTTTTTGCTTCCTCTTCTTCTCTTCTTTCTTTTTCTTCTTCTCCTCCTTCCTGTCTAAATCCTGTCACTTAGGAGACATCTCCATTTCATACACACACAAACACAAAAATCATCAATACATCTGCAAGCAGACATCACGATTACAACATAGTTGTAACCGGTGGGTTTTGGGGCCCCATTGTGGGGAGAACAAGAATAGACCCACTGCCTACCCAAAAGCATGTTGTCAGAGTCAACTAATTAGGGGCTTCCTTCGAAGTCTGAGTACATCTGCCTGAGAGGCAAGGAACCAACAGTCTGCATGCAAATGAGTCAGACCTGTGAAACGGATGTGCATGTAACACTCGGGTTCTAGAACAAGGCTAGTGTCCAGAAGTGGACGAAAACCAGAACTTTCTGTCGGAATTTACAGTCGGTAAAGGCGAGGAAGAAGAAGAAGACAACATAGTTGTCTGATGTTTTTTCCCCCAAACAAATAATCTGACATAGCAAACGACCATCTGTTTTTTTTCTTCCTTTTATATTTGCAAAGTTGAAGAGTTAAAGAAACAAATAAAACGCATGACTGCAGATAAAAACATTTTGTTCCAAAACGCATGACTGCAGATAAAAACATTTTGTTCCTCTAGAAAAAAAAACATTTTAAAGCTAGGTCAATGCACTCCAGGCAATCTCAAAGATGCTTAGTCAACCTTGACCAAAAATGTAAAGACACAACACAGGCAGTGTTAAATTTTGTGAATACTGAGATAAGAGAAAAATGCACTATTAATAATAAACATGTTAGTTTCCATCACTTACATATACATAGCCTCTATTACTCTAAATTTTCCAAAACCCTTATAACCAACTCTTCCCCCTTTTCTCTCTCTCTCTCTCTCTCTCTTTCTGTGTATGTCTCTATTTCTGCCTTTATTTCTATCTTTCTATCAGTGTTTCTGCCTGTCTGACTATCTGCCTCTCTCTCTCTCTCTTTGTGTGTGTGTGCACGCACGTGTGTTTGTATATGTCTTTGTCTCTCTGTGTGTGCTGTGTATGTTGTCTGTGTGTCTCCTTTGTCTATTCTCTGTCGATGATTATATTTCACTGCATCTCTGGCAGTCTGTATCATTAAAATTACAACAACAAAAAAGATCATTTGCGGTTGCTGTCATTATATTGACACTTTATGGAAGGGAACGTTATAGGCTCGTGAGTCTTAGCCATCTATTTTAGCCCTGCTCCGCGCATAGCGGCGCGGGAGATACTCTTCGGGCTGGCGGTAGTCACGGGAAGTCCGCAATTTAAGTTGCCGGAAGTCTGCAATTTACATGTGACTGAGGCTCTGTCAGGGTGTGTTTTTGGCTGCCATAATATATGGCCCTTATTCAGAGGATAGCCCGTAGAATTGTTATATTAGGTATTTCATCAACTCACACGTAAACCACGACACATCCGCTACACAAATGAAAGACATTCCACAGGAAAAACACAGCTCACAGGTCTGCAACCTAGCACTACACTCAGTAGCTCAGGCAGATAAACTATTATACAGGTAAATTCATTACAAATTTTTTTAATCAATTTTTTATTTTTATTTTTAAAATATACATTTAAAAAATTATCACTAACCACAAAAAGGGTGATGCATTAAATTAAACACATCTGCTGAGGAGTAAGCGTATATAAACACATGTATCAGGTGACTCATGCTGTAACACCGTGACCTCTATCGCTGAGGATTATGGGAAACCAACTTGGCATTATAAAGATAATTTAGCTCAAAGAACCCCACCCCTCCCTTTTTTTTGCACCCCCAAGTCTCATGTTAATGTAAAATGCAAAGACATTCTAGTCTTTGTACTGGAAATCAAAGGTCACAGAAATAAAGGCAGACCAAAAACCACAAAGAGAAAGGAGCTAGAGCATGAAGTTAACAAGATAGGAAGGACATGGGGTGAGCTGCATGCAACAGCGAAGGATAGAACGACTTGGTGTGAGTGCCTATGGTTCATCTGGAGATAGAAAGCAGAAGAAAATAGCAAAGAAAAGCAGCAGAAATGTAGATTGCCTGTGACTACTTTATGTGTCAACAGAGACAGAAAGAGAATATAGATAAGTTCTTCAGTACGACTACCGAAAAGTAAGGGGCCCAAGGCAGGCTTAAAAAATAGTATGCTAAAAGTCATAGTTTGGGCCTATTGGTCTAGAATGTGTTTAAAAGCTAGAATATGTTGAGGTCTAACACTTCAGGTTTCAATGACACTGTCTGTATTGGGGCTATCTTTACCTTTAAATAATACTCTAACATCTGAATTCGAAAGGAAGGTACAAGCATTGGAAATGTGATCTCTTCATAAAGTTCTTGATATATCATACCAAGACAACATTATAAATGAGGAGTTCACCATAAAATTATGCAGCACATTGGCAACTATGAACCACTTTTTAACTAGAGTGGTAATGTGGAAAATGCAAAGGTATGGACATGTAATGAGATCTAATAATAGCCCCCCCCCCCCCCCCCCCCCCCCCCCCAAAAAAAAAAATCACTTGAGTGCTCGGTAGAGGGAAAGAGACAGACTAAGCAAGATCTGGATACAGAATTTGACTGGCTAGACAGGCCTTGGGCAGGCAGCCATGAAATCCATCACATCTGACTGTCAAAGATGGAGTGATCTGATCACAGTCAACAGCAACTGGTGACCCAACAACAGGCAGTGTTACGAGATGATGATGATGAATATTTTTTGTCAAGCAGCAAAATATACCGTCTATGGAAATAAAAACGACATACCTGTTTTTGATTGTTGACCGTGACCAAATAATTCACCGAGCATAAGTTAAAAACCAGTAAAGCTCTGGCGATCTCTGAGGTTCGTTTACTTTTGTACGCCTCACGGGCATTCTCAAATGTAAGATCGATCTCTGGGTGTTGATGGTTACCAGTTAAACTTTTCCATTTCCTTTTACTGCCTCCTTGTGTTTTTAACTCTGTGCTCTGCCCTTCCTGCTCTAAACTTGCCTGCGTTGAGGCCGCTTTGTAGAGAAGTTTGGATTTCGAACTCCATGAAAAACACTGAAAAAGCAGACGATTCTTATGAAAGGACTTGCACAGGTTTTTAGTAGCACAAATATGCTTCAATGCCATTTAATATATTTATGTACTAAACGGTGTGGGACATTAAAAGTCTCGTGAAGATTGTAAACAACGGCCTAGTGATGATGAAATTAGACCAGGTTCAACACAAACACGGATACGGGAACACAGACGGCGGTGTCCGGGCAGAGACTTTCTCGGAAACTACACAGGAAAAGTGGCATAACTCTAGCACTGCACGAGTAATGTAAACTTCAAACACCGGAGATCGCAATAATGGGTTGAGACACTAAGTCAGTGTTGCCACTTTGGATGTTTTACATCCAGATTTAAATGTCCAACCCCTCCCTCCCTCCTTAGACACTCAGTGTGCGCTGTTGGCGTCTAACCCGCCCCTTTGTTCGTCCCCACCTGCACGTTGGAGATATATAGGCTGACCGTCATTTCATTGTAGAAAGTTTTTTCGCCAGGGACCCAGATGAGTATCGTTCATTTTATACATTAGAGTCCTATGTAGTCACTTCATAGTTAGAGCATATTTGTGTATGTGTACTGTGTTGTCCTTTATGTGCTGATGAAGGCTAATCGCCGCAACGTTCTTTGTTTGTTTATTGTGATCGATTTTGTAAAGCTAACATAAACTGTTTGTTGTTTCTTACCAACTTTTTCTCTTCCCTATAATTTTCTTCTCCTTTTTAAAAACTTGCATTTAGATGGCGTTTTTGACGTTTAGATGGTAGATGTCTTTCTAGATGGTTTTCATTTGGAGTGAATTCATCAAATCTAACATAAGAAACAGGATGAAATTTGACCTCCTAAATGCTATCTTGACAAAAAAATTCGGCCTGATAAGAGTAGGAAAAGGTTGTTCCACGTATCAGATCCCTGATTGGGTATTGACAGAAATTGGAACAGCTAAAGCATACCAGAGTCATTTTGGATCTGAAGCTTCAACTTCATCATCCAAGCTAAGTTTATCCTGTGGGTCTTGTAACGCAGACTTCAGTAAAGATGAGGACATAATTCAATAGGGTAAGGCATATCAACTGCTATGTAATTTGTGACTCTTTTCATTTGGATGTTTTATCTAGATGTTTTTAGATATTTGTTGACTCCGTTTTGGATGTGTTTTTTTTTTAATCAAAGATAAGTGGCAACACTGCACTAAGTGCGTTCCGGGGCCCCATTATTATGGGAGAAGGGGGGGGGGGGCGTTTTGATCACTGCTCCATAACAAGCATGTCGTAAGAGTAGACTAATTAGGGATGTTTCCTGAGAAGTCAAAATGCATCTGTCTGAGAGAGGAGGAACCAACAGTCTGCATACAAATAAGCTAGATCGGTTGACATGAGCCTTAGAATCTACACACCAGGAGGAGATGTGATCAAGTTAACTCTGCATTGAATTGGCAATCTCTTGACGATCTTTTCAATGTGGATATACCAAGACGTCATCAGTAAATGACAAAGTCCGGCCACTCCCTGAGGGTTAATTTGTTAAATCAGATGTCATAAAACTGAAATTTTACAGCTAATGTGATATTTGCTGCTATTTAAACGTGGCTGGAGCAGCTTCTGGTAGATAAAAAAGCTGCAATAACATCCCTGTGGTTTCTCTGTTTATTTTCTACCTACCACTAAGAAGGCTGAAACAGTCTTTTCACTAAACAGGAAGTTGAAACAATGGCCATCAATGTGATAGATTTATAACTGGGATATGAACATTTCTTTCGCCAGGTATATCCTAAACTCAGATAATGAAGGCATTTTATGTCTAGCCACAAGAGTGACACCAGTAGACAACTCGAAGAGCTTCATTTTTTCTTGACAATTGAGTGCAAATAACTTTTATCTCCTAAGAAGAGATTTTTAATCGAAAGGTTGTCCTTGTGAAGATCCTCATTTTCAGAAAAATAATTACCAACGTTTTCAGCCAATGCCTTTCACTGTTGACCTGTTATTTTGAATATCACTTCCTGGTTGAAATTAGCAGAATTTAAAAAAAAAAAAATTCTGAAAAGTGTATACATTTATTTATCTCCCTCAAGTAAGCGATTATCCCAGAGAGCCAACTTCTTTTAAATTTGACAGCATCCATTTTATTTCTAAGTGTAAATATCTTTGTACAACTCTCCTGAAGGTAATTATTAATTAATTAAGAAGGTTAAAATTGTCTGCCCTATACGCCAACAGCTATTCATTCCTCATCTGACCAAAGCCCTACTGGGTCAGATTGTTGCTCTGGCAGGAACTACTTTATTTCTTCCTTTAGTTTAAAAATTAAAAAAAGGAAGTGCTACACTCCGTTCTCTTGATAACTGCCTCATTTCTGAACGAAGAGGAGCTGCTGGTGATAATCACAATGTTGCAAACACCCTGGAGTTTAAAGCTCGATGGCAAATTTCATTTATGATTTTCGCTGTAACGTTATCCCACTGAAGTGAGATGTTCTTAATGGATCATACAATGAGCGCCCAAACTTCCAGGTGCACGACTAATTATATTTTTCGCAACCACTCCCGAGCGACGTCCAGTCACGATGGCAGCACCGTTTTTGACACATTAGCTCCAGTCTATTCCCTGCACTAGAAAATATCAATCAAAGGTATTAAATATCTCTGAACTAGTAATCCGTCCAGGTAAGTCGAAGCAACAAAGACGTTCATCTTCACTGCCCTTAACGAGATAAAGAAGGAAGCTTTCAACAGAGTAGACAGTAACAAACTATGGGCAATTCTTGAGGATTACGGGAGACAAGGACAAGTGCTAGACAACATCATGGCCATGTACCCCACTTCCCAAACCGCAATAAGAACACAAGAAGGCATGTCTGAATGTGTTTACAACCACTACAGGGGTGAGGCAGGGATGTGTGTTATATCCTGTCTTATTTACTATATGCATAGACAGAATATCAAAAGAAGCCTGCTTTAAAGCATAAAATCCAGAAAATGAGGAACTTTACTTTCCAGAGGAAGAATTAGATCTCCACACAATAAATGAGCTACTATATGCAGACGATCAGTGCCTGTTCTACAATGAGGGGAGTAGACTGCAAGAACATTTGAACAAGCTAAATTTAAGATGCAGAAGATATAACATGAAAATAAATACTACTAAAACAGAAGTAATGCAGATCAGCAGATTTCCTAGTCCCCTACCTATCGGGTTAAATGGTGCTTGTCTGAAGCAGGTTAAAGAATTTAAATATCGAGGAAGTATATTGTCGGAGGTTGGGAGAATAAATCAGGTAATAGAAACGAGATGCCAATGATCTTATATATCAACTGACACCATTATTAAGACATCTAAAAATAAGTATCAGCGCCAGGACAGCATATTCATACCAACACTGTGCTACCAGTGTCAGACTTGGACATTATCAATGGCTAACCTGTGTAAAATTAACACCTGTGAAATGAGATTCCTGAGAAAAGCTGCCAACTTAACCATCCGAAAGATAGAAATGATATTATCAGACAGGCTGTGCAATGCTTCTTGCTTTGACTTGAAATGAAGCGTGGTTTGCACCTTGAAATGTACCTTGGTTCGGCTTGGAAAGAACCGTGGTCTACTTAGAATGAACCTTGGTTTACACCGACTTTAACGTCTAGAGTTGACAACACAAACGCCGCTCAGCTTCTTGGTACATTCTGTCAGTTTATTCTGGTCCATTTATTTCACATATTCAAACATTATTCGCACTTCTATCACTCGCGACATATTCGAACACTAACCATTTGCGCAACATAAAGACGACATCTTCAATTACTACAACCGTCTTCCGTCTTCCCTGACTTCTGATGATCAACTGACCACGAGGCTAGCTCGGGCTTCGCCTCGCTTACTCCACCGGCCACAAGTATCTCGTGCCGTCACTTGTAGCACGGACTTCCTGCTTGCCACAATGTACTCGTGGAGACCATGCAAAGCAGGGTCATCACAGGCTGTAGGAACAACACCATCCAGCAAATGCGTTGATAAACAGAAGATCAAATTGTTTGGTCATCTAGTAGTAAGAATGCAGCTAGAACATCTATCAAAGCAGGAACTACACAGGAAATCATTTGAAGTGAAAGCAAAAAGCCGCCCTAGGAGAATATGGACTGATGACAGTAAAGAGCTTTTACATTGTCATGGAATGACAAAAGCCATTGCTGTCCATCAAGCAATGGATCACAAACTGTTCCTCCCCACAACGCTTAATGGCAGAAGTGGAAATGGATGATGATAACGATGAACAATTACAAAATGCCTTGACAAATGAATAACAATCAACACGGCACATCAAAAAGAGCATGTATAAGGACCTGTACCCCCTCCCCCCTCCCCTCTCAAAACTAACTGAAAGAAATACAGAAGAAAAGAAGAAATAAGAGGGCGAATTATAAAGCAGGAGGAGTGACAGAGTAAAAAAAAAAAGAGAAAGAGGAAGAAAAAGAGAGTGTGATCCCTGTGTGTGTTCCGGGACTTCATTGTGGAAAAACAAGAATAGACCCACTGCCTTCTCAAAAGTATGTCGTAAGAGTCAACTAACTGGGAATTTAATTCGAAGTCAGAGCACATCTGCCTGAGACAAGGAACTAACAATCTGCATACAAATAAGTCATATCTGTATGGCGGATGTTCATGCAACACTCAGCTTTGGAACAAGACTAAAGTCCAGAGATGGACGAAGAACTAGAACTGTCCGCCGGAGTTTACAGCCGGTGAAGAAGAAGAAAAGAGAGTGTGAAAAAAAGGAGAAAATAAAGAAGAAAAGGGAAAAGGAATAAAGGAGGATAAAGAGGAGGAAGAGAAAGAATAAAAGGAGGAGGATGAAGCAGAAAAAGAAAGAGGAATGAAGGAAGATGGGTTGATGAAGAATAAAGAGAAGAAGAAAAAAGAAGAGGAGGAAGAAGAAGAATATCAATCACATTTTGATACATACTGAATGAACAATAACAAACATGTATCTAATCCTTCATTTTATTACATCTGCATGTAGTGATGATTCAAAAATAGATTGTCGTCTCCAAAATGAAAATGGTATGGACAAATAAAACAGTAAAA